AATTAACCAGTATTTTTGTGCGTACATATGTCAATTATGAGGATTAATTCTTAAGTCGACAGAGATTACTCTATGTTACATTGAAAGCGACTTATTATAATATAATTTTAAATTATTCGTGTTTAATTTGTTACTGTATTCAATATTTATTTTTTGTGATGATGAAAAAGAAATATCTTAGTTCACATCCGTTGACTCAATATAAATATTATCTCCGTTTATGATCACCATCTCGACAAATTTAAATGATTCATTTGTATATAAATAGCCATTACTTGCTTTTATCAGGTTATTTGTGTCTAGTAGAAAATATATTCTTTGATATCTTGTTACTAACAGTCATTTAAACACCATTAGTAATACAATAAATAATCGTTATCAAAATTGAACCGGTAACTTCGATACGAACGTAATGTATGCCACTCAAACTGATTCATTTATTAATTTAGTATGCAATTAGGTTGTATTGTTCAATGCCACCTTCAGTTTGCTTGGAGAAAACTACCAACCTGTTTAACAATATTTATTTCGCACAATACTCAAGCATGGAGGTAATTTCCAAGCTTTCTTTTATTGTGATGTTCGGACAACGAAATGCATCTGCTATATAATATATAATAATAAAAAAAACATATGTTAACCATATACTTTGTCATTTTTACAAATTGATAGTAATTATATAAAAATACGTTTTATCATGTTCGATTATTTCCAGCGTACAAACATTTACTAGGTAATACAAGCAATAAAGAATATGCAATATACATTCCAAAATAATCATTAAATATTATTTTATAAATATAGCATAATTTCTTACTTTAAAAACATATGAAATATAATAGAACGACGATTTATTTTATTTAAATAATTCATAAAAATAATTTATTCCAGCAAAACAACTGGGCTGGCGTAAATTGAGATAAAAAGTTTTCTATATACATAATTCCTTTCCAACACCAGGGCTAGAGAGCTTATAAATGATTTCAGCTGGGACCACTTGATGCCTTGTCTTAACAGATTACTTTCTAACTTTAGACCTTCCCGACTTATAGGACTATAACTTATCTGTGATCCTACGTTACCAAGTTGAAATTAGTTTTTTTATATACAATATACCGAAGATACTACCACAAGGACTCAATTTATAAGGTATTTCATGATTTTATTTAATATTATAAATTAATTCAAATTCATATGTCATTTAGTCCCAAGGTAACCAGAGTTTTGTTATGGGTATTAGACAACTAATATAAATACTGAAAATACATTTTTTATGTACCTACGTAATGTACATTTTTGTATTTAGAACCCGTGACCATTGAAATAAAGTGGTGAGCTAAACAGCTAGACCGGCGAGGCCCGCCGAGGTATTGAAAGCAACCTAAAGGTAAAAAGGTCCGAATCTAAAATAAATACACTGTTAACGCAACATAAGCATTATACAAGATCAAAGAAACAACTCACAAAAGGTACGCTCGTTCGCGGTAAACAGGTTGAATATGAATATGCTTGTACCTGACTCTGACTACTGTATTGACGCACATCCTCTTTACTAATGTTATAAATGTAAAATGAGTCTGTCTATCCACTTCAAGTATTTGACATGTGGTTACAAAAATATCGCGCGAAGGAAGCCGCAAACAACGTGTTTGAGTTTTCCATTATTCTAACGGAATCTAAATATAATATGTAAATGATACAATTTACCTTTTAGATATAGTAAAGTGGAGTTATACCATGCTATAATTTATAACTATATTTTATTTAAGTGCACCTTTAAATAAAATTTAATTTGCTAGGTAATCCATTTTTTTTTATTCGTACGAAAAGTAATAAGTGTTAAAAAGTATTTTAATAATCTATATTAATAAAGTCGTAACATAAAACCTATTACATACATGGACATTATTTTAGTAATTCAAAATAAATACACGACAAAATTGAAGCCGATATATAAGGACTTAATTTTATAAGAGTATTAGTCATAGATATTGTCCCAATAATCTTCAAGATTCTTAACCTTTGACAACGTTGTTTGATCTGTAGAGGACACTTGAGGGTCCTGTGTCCTACAAATTTGTTGTTTCGTTCTATTCCTTTATATTTGCGGATATTTCGTTATCTCTGTAGGCAGAGTAAAAATATTAAATATTTCCGTAATAATACTCTATTCTATTTACAATAGAGTAATAATCTGTTATAGTCTAAGATACGGCATGAGAAATATATATCCTCATTTCTTATTTGATAATGACAAACTCGATACATTTCTTATTCTGTATCTCGTACTTTAGCTGTCAATAAGTAGTAAATATAAATCGTAGCAAGGCTAAATGAGTGCGGGTCGATAGTATGCATTAGAGAAGTGGACCGTGACGGACTTTCTCACTTGAAATATAGTGATACTGAAAGACTCTCATATAAGTCAGTAGATGAAAGACAGTACCTTTACTGACTGCAAAAAGATAGAAGTTACACTATTGTTACTTTATATATATTAAATGGTTTATCATATATTATTATCATTGCAAATATGTACATAATTTGTAAACGAACATTTTCATCCCTGTCACGAAGCAATGTGATAATATTTATTTGTAAACTGTATCTATAATTTGTATCAATTAAAAAAATATTAAACTCCATGCGGACCAAGGTCGCCAGTAACATCTAGTATTAAATATGTATATATATACAGCATGTAGGTATAAAATTATTTGAAATCAACTCCTGTAATAACGTATTTACCGACCTATTATGCAAGACACATCGTATACATTATTGTTATAGTTGTGAAACTAATTAATCTCGCTGGAACTGTTCTATTTATATAGACCAGATGTTGCCTTAATGAATGTGGTTTTCATTGCCTATACAATGAAATAATGAGGCCGTCATGTGACAAAAGTATAGGTTTACCCTCGTTTTGTTCAAAGGTCGTTGCCAAATATCCAAGAATATGATATGATATGATATGATCTGACATGAAGTGATAGGAATAGATTACGAGAAAAGAAAATAGTTATATTATCCTTATAAATATTTATATATTATGCTGAGGCAAATGTAAGTAAAAATACGGAGATTTTGTAAAATATTTAACAGTTACTGTCTGAGTAAATAAAGATAGCAAACTTTGTAAAAATTAGTTACAAAATGGTCAATTTATAATTTATTCTAAAATTAAGTTCTAAGTAAAGACTGAAAAATCGGTAAAACAGGTAATGAAGTTAATATTCCTACATGTTTGTTGTTTCATTTACACTTTATTGATTTAATGAAGCATACTGTTGAAGAAAACTGCTCAAAACTATCTGGCGTTTATGTATTCAGAAATCAGAAGAAAATCATACTGGCTGGGTATTTCTATATCTTATAATGCTCGTTGATATTGCAGCCACCCCAACACCTTTCAACAATACAATATTTACACAACCGTTGAAGCAAAGAGTGAATTATTTATACAAACAAATAATACGTAGGTACAAGTATGTGCATATCCAGATCTCTGGCGATTAGCCAAAATGGCTTGACAGATTTTGATAAGTATCGTTAATAGGAATACTAATAGCTACATAACGACAGCATAAAATAATTATGGTGATCATAAACTACAAAAACTTGGGATTTACAACTCAGACATGTGTGTTTATCGCGTTTACTTGATATAAAATTGAGGACAGACCTGCTTACACATATTACAAAGGAAAGTAATAATATATTGTTTCTCTGGTGGACTTGGCAGTATACATCATAACGAAACTCCTAAATAATATAAGCTTATGTGTACAGTATCTTTTATTACTATTCAGACTATTGATGTTTGAGTAATAAATAAACGAGTAGGTGTGATGTTATACATATTAAAATATGTCATTTAAAACCGCATCAATCATTCACACCAAGATGTAAATAAAATAGATATTTAAATAAAACATTTAGAATGTTCTTCTTGCAAACATGGCAACCACAATATACAAAACAAAATTACTAAAATTAAAATAACAATTACTTCATATTTACAATTTACAATATGATTTGCTAATTTACATTACGTATTGCTATTTCATTCATTCGTCAAAATATTATTTTAGAGAATAATAGCATTCCGACAAAGTTTTTTTTTATTTGGAATAAAAGTTATTAGTTTATTTTTTTAAATACTAATGGTACATTATTTTTTTATAGCCATATAGGATTTATTTTGGTTAAGGTAAGTCAGGTATAAAGGGTTGTAAATTCAATCTGTTTTGTGTCGGGTATTAATATATATATATATATATATATATAAAATTATATGGGATTAGTCATATATGTACATACTTATATAAATAACTAGCTGATTCGTGGTTTGGGTAACCGCAAACCCGGCACTGCTATGGAATTTCAAGATATCGTTTCTTTGTAAATTTGTGTCTACGTATGTCGTAAAATAAATCTATTACCATTACATAGTATAAAACAAAATCACTGTCGCTGTCTGTCTCTATGTATGCTTAAAGTTTTAAAACTACGTAACGGATTTTAAAACGATTTTTTTAATAGATAGAGAGATTCTAGAGGAAGGTTTATACATATAAGGCAGTGTACACCCAGGCGAAGCCGGGGAGAGTAGCTAGTATTATTATATTCAAAACTTTAACGTTATAGCCCCAAACATTTAGGGTATAAGTACTTTGTCAGATCTATCATAGTTTCAACATGTTTCTATTGTAAAAAAAATATGAAAGTCAGCTTAGAGACATTTGTTGTAAAAGGCGTTGAAAAATATTGGTTTTATACTACGACTTTTCAACTCTATGAACATTCTAGTACACTGTACTACTAGAATGATAGAGGATGATAGTGGGAGATTATTTGCAGTAAAGACTAAATGAGGAAGAAAAGATATAACCGACAGCGGCGACGACTTTGTTTTATACTATGTATATACTACGTATGTATGTCTAAGATAATGTTCTTTTTGTTTTTCAGATCAAATAATAAATCTGTGCACTGACCTGTTGCCAGACATGGTATGGAAAGCGATGAGCAACGAGCGCCGCCGCTATAGTGTGAGCGATAGGCAGAAAGATGCCAAAAGCGGCTGCGACGGGGGCGCCGACCGGTAGCAGAGCGTAGGCGGCGAACACCGCCCAGACAACGTGAGCGGCACCCTCCGCGGCTGCGCCGGGGGACCAGGCCGGCAGCGTGGCGGCTAGCGCGGTGCCGCCGCCCGCCAGCGCGAGCCAGCAGGCGCGCGGTAACCGTCGCTCGGGGGCTACGCCACCGGCGCGCCCGCACCACCACGCCAGGCCGCCGCATAGTAACGCGTGCGCGCTCAGTACACCCACCTGGATAAGAAGTTATTACCATTTTACACTTTAAAGTAACTAATGAGGTGTGTAATAATTAACAACACTTGCACGGAACGCGTTTATTGCCCAACAACCGCTTCTTCACATTAGAAAAAGTATAACACTCAAACCTACTTGTGACAATTATATTAACTACGATGCCATATTCTGGATGGTGAATGGTATACTATCATTTATAGATATATTGATAGAACAAAAAATATTGTGACGCTCATGTAGCATAATGCGATGTCGTGTCAGTATAGTGACTTATTAAATTAGCAATAACACAATTAATTTATTTGTCATTTATGTGAACATTTATTATAACGTTACGGAATGTAAATTAATAAATTAATATTACCCATAAATAGCACTTCATCAATAATAATTAAAGTGCTTATTTCAACTAAATAACTATTGTAAAAGATTTTATGTATATTTTATTGAAACAAAGTTATCAATATAACCAGCATTGTTTGAGAAACTTGTGTGTCCGGGTAATGACAATTGGCCGCGCAAATTATAGGTATTGATTGATTGATTGATTGTTGACCTATATTTAAGTCCGCAAATAACTACTGGCAATAAATAATAAAGCAAACGACAGTACAAAATCAGAAATAAAATATTCAGCGAATACATCTCGCTCTATCAATTGTGTGCTCATATGACTGGGCAGGAATATGAAGTAGGCAGAAAGTATTCACAATTATTGACATAGTATTGAAATTAATCATATTAAACATCTACTTCAATTATTGGTATTTTTTTTCGCCGTAGTTAAGGTTTAAATCCTATGATTTGTAAGTACGTTGCAAAACGTTGTACTTTGTACGAAAACAAAAATAATAAAATATCAATCACTCAGTGTTATTTTTATTGTATGCTTCAGATTGTAGCAGCCACCGAACTGTCTAGAAGTAAACAAAGAAAAGATGGACGTATTGTATAAAAACAGTAGCTACCTAGTCATGACAGCGAAGTAACAACCGTTAGAAATCTAAGAGGAAAACGTAAGGACTACATTCTTTTTAATTAATATAAAATATAAAGTTCACCACGATGTTTCATTATAAAGAAAAGGTAAATAATGAAACATGATGAGTTTTATTTTAAATTAATTACAAAAAAAGGCTACACCCCGAGCATTTTAATTAACTGATGGGTAATTGTATTCGAGAGGGTGAATCCAGTGAAAGTCTAATTACGTAAAACTTAAACAAAGTTCAAGTATTGTACATCGGCTTCCTAAAATAATGACTGTAACTGTCATTGAAGGCATCGCTGATAGTGTGGTAAACACTACTTTACTTCCGTTGGTTGCGCGTTCGATTCCTTTTAAAAAAATGTATTTATGTATTTCTATCAGTTTATATATAGATAGAGTGATTTGAGTAGAAAGTTAATCGAATTCAGGCAGCGACGTCATTTCTGAAAATTGCCGTTTCATCTGTTCTCCATACAAAACGTTCTACTAAGAAATTTTCTACAACAAATAATTAAACTCGCTGAAATGACAACTATTTATTAACGTTTACCACTAGTCAGTTATTATTTTATTTTAGAATCATAAGTACCTAATATAAAACCTGGATTTCCACCTAAAAATTATTTGTATTAGGAATAGGAACAAAATGTGCCATTGAAACCGACTAGTTGGTAGTATTTACCTGGGGTGCCCTACGCCATCCACGCGTGGCGTCGACGGCGGCGAGCGCTGCAGCTAGGGCGGCCCACAGCGCAAGAGCAGATCCAACGGAGGTGCGTTGCAGCTTGCAAGCATACCGCGCGTACAGCTCTTCAAGCTCCGCGGACTCAAAGCGGCGCCGCGCCATCAGCCTCGCGAGCGGCCCGCGCGCCGACATCGCTTTCACCGCATGGTCCATACCGCCCGCCACCGTCTCACCTCGCTGCCGAACGCACTATGATACGCCCGCGCCGCCTCATCTACAAAGAAAACATATAAAATAAGATTATGTTCCATAATAATCACTGCGACTTATTTAATTTGACCCTAATAAATTAGTGCTAGTTGGTAGTTTATATTCACATGTTTAGACTTAAATATGTAAAGTTTCAACAATTATTTTTTTATTTTCTCATTCTTCTTGTGATGAGACAGCTTTCCAAATAAGCGGTAGATTAAAAATAATTGTTTGATGAATTTTCAAAATTGATTGATAGATTGATAATTATTAAAAAAAGGAATTTTCTATTCTATAAGATTCAACCCTAAAATAAACTAAAGTTACCACAAAGATTACAAAAACGCTTGTTGATAATAATTGTGTAAATTTAATAAGAAATAAAAAAAAAATACTTCTCAATTTAGCAGAAAAATATCCTACAGAACCGTTTAAATTGTGGTATAATCCTTTGTCTCCTCTGTTTCGGTCACAAAGCAGTTTATTTAACAAGGTGTTTTTATCAAATGGGCGGTATTCTTGTCTGATACTATAATCTCGCAAAATGTTTCTTGTTTTTAAATATCAAATGCTTCTCACTTTATCTTATGCTTTTTTATTAAATAGCGTCCTTTCTCTTTATCGCGATAATTACCATCATTTTAATCTATTGATTAGTTAATTAACATTCCGTAATCGGACTGCAATAAATTTTATATATTGTGATACAGTAAACTAACACTCAAGTGACATATTGCCTATTACTATTTCTCTGCTTAACGCTGTTTGAATGAATGTAACTGTTAATAAACTAATACCACAGATAACATAATATTACATACTAATACTGATACTTAATTATACTTGAAGATTAAAAATTCCGAAGGAGGTTTTATACTTTATACTTTACTACTTACTGCTAAGATTGCTTTATAAGCTGTATTTTATTGCCTGTTTCGGTTTAAGGGCTGAGATATCGCAAGGTAGTTACAAGGTACTGGGGCATGATATTTTACAACTCTGGACAGGCAACGCCACCACTTACATGCTATGCATCTATCTACAGACGAGGATTACCACATTTAATTAAGTACCACGTACGTTAGATTACTTGCCATTTACATAAAAAATTAAACCTATGTGAATGTGCCAAACACAAAAAAAAACGAATTACTACCATGTATTCTGATTGCTAATTTGAGACATTTAGTTTTTTTTTTCTTACTCTTGAAAAAATAGCCCAGCTTATTTCTAAATTAACTACAATGTCGTTTAGTTTATTCAAATTCTGTAGAAGAACTATTACTCAAATAAACTTACATTGAAGCACTTTTGAATAGTCATTACATTTTTTAATCTACCGCTCATTCGGAAAGCTGTCTCATCACAAGAAGAATGAGCAAGAAACTTGCGTGTTGCTCTTTTAAATAATTTTATTATTACTGTACATTTCTAAGTTAAAGTGTGTACATACAGAAGATCGAACCGATTTAGCTTCAAGATTAAAACGGTAAATGTTTTATCGGAATCTTTGTTAATTGGAAGTTCATACTGAATAATTGATCATCACAAATCCATCGAGGTCTGTACGGACAAAGCAAGGAGAAACGGCTAGAGAACAATAACTATTTGTATTTATTTCGTTCACGAGAATAACTACTCGAATATAGTGACAACTCCAATTATTCTAAATGATTATTATTGAACAAAATATCACGATATTTAGGTTCAGAATAGATTTGAGTTATTTATAATAGCAGTGTACACAAAACGTCAGTTCAATAACTTCTAACTCAACCTAATTTGCTTTTAATAGTATAGTAAAATTAATAACCTTTATGATGGAATATTTATAGTTTTCATTATAACAGATAAACCATCTATACAAACAAATTGTGAGTTTTACAATACCTATTTTTAATCAGGATCTATAAAAAACACTCATCTCATTGATATGACTTTAAATAACTAAATAAAAACACTCCCATATTTCTGTAAGCGAAATTACATTTCTTACAAAGATTCACAGATACTAGATTCATGTAGGAGACTGTGGAATAGAATTGCATTCATTCTAGGGATTTATAACAAGGTTGGAATATGGCAGTATAGCCCAAAGGCAGGAGGGAGAGAAATCAGACTCCCAAGAAGGGGAAGTACACGAAAACAACTTTTAGAATTCAAACAAACCTCAGACAGACATGCGAGTGCTTTTAAGCTGAAGAAAGAAAAACCTAAGCAAGTATACGTTACATTCAGCTGGTATTTTTATTTTAGTTACAAAGGCACCTAAAATTAAAATATAAAAGCTATGTCTTTCTCAATACTGATTAATTGATTTCCGCTATTTTTATTCGCTAAAGGAAGTTTTGTCAATTTTATTTTTAGATTCTATATAATTGGTCTCACAGAATACTTTTGTTTTAACGGTAGGTAAAAATAGATAAAATAGTGTATGATATTTGTATAGGAGTTTGATAAATGAGTCTTACCGGCAAAAGGCATCTTGTATATTATATAGGATTTGGCTTGAAAAGTGAGTACTCTCTACAATGAAAATGTACATATAGTAGGTAAAAATATAGATAGTATGTATGTAACAAAATTTTACTCTCACGTAGTCCGACAAGCACTTCACTGCTTTTAAGCATATACGGAACGAAGAACAACAAGTACAATAAAAATTTATTTAATATATTACATATTTGGTTACCAATATGACTGCTATTTAAGAAACAAACAATTACCTTCTAACTCTGAACAGTCGAAGTCGGTACTCGTGTATCCACAAACGGATTTTTCGATTCCCTGTGCGGCCGCAAATCTACACTACGATAGCTATCTTCGTTCAATAAAAATGTTTGCTTAACGATTTACGTTACGTATTCTATTTTCATTATATACATAAACTAATTATAATATCACAGTGGTAACACCCAATTTAAAAAGGCAGGCTTCAATGATTTTTTTTTTGTGAGTGTCTAATTTTGTATTTTGAAGACCCGAAAACTATGTATTAAAGAACTGCCTTTCCATGGTTATAATGAAAAGTCGATGAAGCAGACCACTACCTAGCTGACTAATTTCCATAGGGACATGAGGAGTTGGGCCTATCAAATGCCGATAATACGAAAATGCGAAATACAAGGCGCCTCAAGATTAGGAAAACCGCCCCACAACAGGCATAGCCGAGAATGAAAAAGAAGAATCAATAAGGAAAAAACCGTTATTGATGGACTTACAAAAATCAAATATTACTAAGTATAATCTTTACTTTATAATAATTATTGATATAAATACAAACATCATCAAATATTTGTTCTGGAAAACCGCAGTATTTATAAGCATATGGTTTTTACGGACTCTTAAGTAACAAAACACTCGGTTTACATTTATAAACTTACTAAGTTTTTTATGAGTTATAAAAAATAGATATGTGTTACAAATTACACTTCACTACTAAATTCGAAGTTTATTGTTACTTAACCATGTACGTTTTGACCATGACTTGTCCTTGAGATTACCATTGACACATATAGGAATGAATCAACGAAGCATATTCCAATTTAACAGGTTGTAAAATAAACAATTCGCCGTTTCTACAACCAAATTGAAGATAAAACGAGACGCAGACGATCGTTAAATATCTCCATTTTTATTGTAATGTTCGTACATTCACTGCACAGCGATTTAAAACTGAAATTAACATTATACCTACGCTTTCAACGGAATTTTCATTATGTACACTAAATATTAAGTTTGGGCATTATATTGAGTTATTTATTACTTATTTATCAAGAATGATTCATAACCACTCTCTAAACAATAAAATAAACAAACTTAAATAAAATATAGTTGAAAGTTCGTTTATTTTTATTATAGCATGGTTATTCCCAGTCTCATCTTGTGACTACAATAGCATGGCGGGTAATCCTCTATAAGAGGAACGGAATTGCTAACAAATAAGTTACGGCAGAGTCGCGAACCGAGAGGAGAGTGGGGGAGGGTGTCACGGTCGCCGGGTCAATAAACCCTGCAGGCACCGCGGCAGACTGACCGCGGCAACAAACGCCCAGTGACGACGCCGTCATGCCTTCACCATTCAACGTCGCGACGCGGTGCTCCTATGAATTTCAGTCAATTGCAAACCGTTTTTTACAATCGATACCTACTTTATAATTGTATTTTGCAATAGCTGAAGTAACACGCGTAAAGTATTTCATCTGTTCACATTAGTCAGTATAGATCTAACAGATGAAATGAACTACTCGGCTAATAATGATATAAATTATGTCCTAATTTGTTCCATATTTTAGTTAAACCCATAATAAATATTCTCTATAATCTTAGATAAGTAACAGAGCAGATTAAAATTAAGCTAGCGAATAGTAACGTCGGCCCTGAAACTTTATAATGTATGTAACATTCATACTATACGTTCGTTACGGTACGGAACAGTCTCAGAATACTACTCCTTTTTTACTTCGGACGACTCTATCTAACTATACATCTATATTATACAGGATTATGAATAAAAAAATAATCACTAATATTATACCTATTAATATTTATATATTATATCTATTAAAAGAAAATACGAATTGTTTGGATAGGTATGGTAAGTATTAATTGTATATGTGGAGAGCTACCTCCGAACTACTGTATCTATATATATCCACACATAACTTAATATTGTTGAATCATGACTAATTCCGAACGTTAGCCTTACAATAATAAATTATACACGCACGTTATGTTCATCTGTATAATATGATATGTTTAGTTTTATCCCCGTTATTTTATTATGGATAATAATTGTGTATTGTCCCGAAAATTGACTAACAATTCCTAATATAAATGAGACAAGATAGTGGACATTTACAATGACAATTAGTATGATTTACGACTCAATTTGATTTTATTGAGAACCAGAAATAAAATTCTATTCTAATCTAACACATATTTTTTTGTCATGCAAATTCCATTAAAACTAGTAGACATTTAAGGCATTTATGCATCATCTGGACTATTATAGACTTATAA